CAAATCATATTTATCTTTTCTGCAAAGTGAACCTGTATTTACATAATCTATGTCAAGATGTCCACTCAAATACACTTTTTTAAAACAGAGACAGATTAATTGGAGACAATTTCCCCCGAAAATTTTAGTTGAGTTAGACACACTTGGACATCAACAGCAAAATGATATGGGAAGCATTGCCTCCTGTTTTTAGTTTAGGTTTGCTATGTTAAAGGGTTAGTTCACCCCAAAAAAAATGTATTCCGTCATCAATAACTCACCCTCACATCGTTCCATCGATCATGTCTCTTCAGAAGACTTGGATTGAACCGCTTGATTCATATGGATTTATTTTACAATCTCTTTATGGATGTTTTGAACCATCAGAGTTTTGGGTGAACCGACTTTCAATGTGGGGACACTGGGACAGAAATCTCTCAGATTTCATAAAAAAATATATTTATTTGTGACCTGAAGATGGATGCAAGTCATGGGTTTGGAATGACGAGAGTGAGTAATTGATGACAGGATTTTCATTTTTGGGTGAACTAATCCTTTAATTTTTTTTTGTTATTTTATTTAATTATTTATTTGCCACTTATAACAGCATTCCTGTTGCTCAAACAGTAGATCATAACACTAGCAACGGCAAACTCTTGGGTTCAATTCCCTTGGAAAGCATGAGCTGAAAATGTATACAGTGAGTGCAATTTAAGATGCTTCTTCTAAATGCATAAAAGTAACTAAAACAGACCTGTGACCAATTTTTACTGCTCCACGAACCACCAGTTGAGAACAGCTGCTCTATGCATCTCTAACATGTGGATGATGAAACTGTTGAGGGAGAAGACTGACTACACTCAGTTCTGGCTAAAAGACATCAGCATTTGAATGTACTTGCTTTGATGTTTCATCATCAAAAGACATTATCAGATCAAAATGAAATTGATGTATCATATTTTTGTTCTGTAACTGCATGATCAGATGAAATGCTCCTTTGTAACATCTAAAAATTCAAAGCAGTTGATTCAGATTCATCTCAATTCACCCCAATGCAATTGAACTGAGCCAAGAAGTAAGTGTGCATTTAGCCTGTAAGCATAAAGAGAACTCATTTGTCTTCCTTTGAATTCTTCATTTGGAAGATTCAAGTTTGTATTGGGTGACAAAGAAGCTCCTGAAGGTCACATGTATGTCTTCCAAAGGAGGCAGGAAATCAAAGAGTGATTATTGAAGACTAAAGCAGGAATTGCCAACACCTGTCTCTGACTGCAGCTAGTGCACTTGATCAAGATGGATCTGTTAGGGAAGGAGTCTCTTAAGAAGGGGAAATGGAGGAATCCACATGGGGGGTTGAATGGCTCAGTTGTGGAGAGCCTTCACTGCCCTGAGCTCTGAGGGGTGTTCAGGGTGATGTTGTGGGTCACTCCTGGAGTTAAAGGTCATTAGGAGTATCAGCACCTCCAGACAAGCTATATTTCTAGAAGATTTTTCCAAAGTCTGAGGTAGTCGGAATGTCAGTATGGCAAAACAGCTCCTCGATGAAAGATGGGTTCATTTAAAGGATGAAATGTTGTCTTTAACTATTAAAAGAAACAGAAAGGGAAGTTGTTTATTTGGATTGGTCGTCCTCGTCCACTGAAAGAGATCATAGTTGAGGATTTGCATAAAAGATAATATTTTGGTAGTGTTTCCAAGATTTAAAGGGGATAGTTTGCCAAAAATGCATAATCGAGATAAAAGAAAGAACTGTTAAAAGATAACAGTGTTAATTTAGTGTCATTGTTACTATTATAGGTTTTATTCATATTTTGAATTCATTCTTATTTTCCTATTTCCTATTTTCATTTTAGTTTGGTTTGGTTAAGTAATAGCCCTACGACATGACAGAAAATAAATGATATAAATCATTTGTATCAGCTAATTGAATGACAGCATAAGATTGCAAAGCTATGCATTTGTCAATCCTTATTTTATTGCTCTCATCGAAAACGCTGATCACAAAATTATGTGCAAAATTGTACACCAGCCAGGCAGCAGAACTCTGAAATGATGATGAAATGAAACAGGAGGATGACAATGGCACTCGACCCATAAAAACCATCTCCTGTCCATTAATTGTGGCTGTAGACTGTCCATACCGCAGTTTGTGACCACAACCTCAGCTGAACTTTGAGACCTGATGCATGGTTTATGCAACAATAAATGATTCTCTCTGTCTCTCGCTCACTCAGACTGCATTATGCTCAGGTGGCCTGTATTAAAATATGGGACACGCCAACCACCAGTGCAGTCAGAAATTATGAATGATCGCTTCACTCTGTAAGGCATTATTTGCGGGACACCGCTGGAGTTATATCACTGACTTTGTCTTGATTTAAATTTCTTTGTAGGGTTTTTGCATGAGGACATGTAATCTTCCAGTACAGAGAGAATGAAAACAGCTGGGCGGGAGTGAAGATGAGTATTGTAAACGTGCCAGATGTCGCCCAGAGATTAGAACCTGCACACATCAATCATCAAGTACAACTGGGGATTTCGACACCCCATACAGACTTTCAGTCAACTCAGGGACCCCAAGTGTAGACAAATTCACAGCATATCACAATGGTTCAAACAGTGCCTACATGTTTAAAATATATATTACATTTTTTTTCCCACTGTTTGCAAGAGATCACTGTCAGCAATGACAAATGTCATCAACACAGCAGTAACACTTTTCTCAGTAAATATCAATTTTCCACCAGGTACCAGGCTGTTACAACATACAGTACATGGTCTGTGCATTTTGTAAATCAAGGCATAGAAAGACTGGGGGTGGAAGAACATCTTGGTTAAGAGTCAAATGAGGGGAAAGCTATTCAGTGTGAATTCAATTTACAATATATTCCTATCCACCTTATTCCTGACGACCTACTGCGTTTTGAATTATGGGTGGCACTTCCGGTTTGGGGAACTTCCATTCAAAAAGGCTGAAACGAATCATTTCAAATCATAAGGTTGCCCTACAAATAAAGCTGATCCGTCAGTTTGACTGGATGAGCTGTCAATTTTCCTTCATGATTTATTTTCAGACATCATGAGAATAACGTTATACTTGGTATTTTAACGTGACATGTTATTACAAGAATATCTATGGCAAGAGCTCTTTTCAGTCGCTGCTTTCTTTTCCTCATGATGATTTTTATTTTTTCCTTTGCAATCCGCTGTAAAAGTATGAAAAAGGACAACATATACGGCACATTTGTGGTCTGTTCTCCCAAATTTAATTTACGATATTCCATTAATAATTCACTGGAATGCACGAAGAATCTCTCGTTATTCTCCTCAAATCCTCACGTCTCTTTCCAGGTTTGTTTTCACTGGTAAATGCAATTTATAATCTGTCAAAATGACGGAAATCACTTTGATATAGTGTCACGTAATGCTGAAGTTAATGAACATTTTTGATTAAGGCTTGTTATACAATACAGATAGTATATTTGCCTGTGATATTTAACCAAAGACTCGTGCTTTTGGGGCTACTTTTGGTCTGTTGAAAGTACCTTGTTGATTCTTTGAAACTTTTAAATTTCATTTTAATGTTCGATGGTTGAAGGGTGAGTCGATTAATGTCATCTCATTGTGACACTTTTTTAACGTATTGCGTTCATAGAGCGAGCCTTTCACTGATTGTTTACAGCTTAACGGAAGTTACACCCATAATTCGCGCAAAGCGTCATGGGGCGTAGGAATACAGTGATAACCTACTTCCACAATAGTTTTTTTCTTCTTTTTTTATTTTTGCTGTGAAATGACAATCATGTTTGCAGTTTTACATTAGATTAAACTACAGAAAGTAAGAATACAGTGCAACCAACTGCAATCAGTATAGCCTACTATAAAATGGGGTCAGTGTGTGAATTATTCAATGACTTTCATGGGGGTTACTTTTAAACAAATTTTTTTTTTTTTGTATTTTCCAGGACATGTTTAACTGTATAATGGCGTCCCAGTAGGCTATGTACAGTTAACCAAATGTCAACTTATTTTTTTCCAAATGCATACAAAAAAAACACAAATAATGTGTACCCGGTTTCGTCGATGTAGGCCTACCACATTGTAACGGAAAGAGAACATGCGTTTACTGTTGTCATGGTTACCATCTCACAATGATTTCAGTTCATGAGCATCAATAGCCCACTCTGACTAACTTGTAAGGCAAAGCTAACTTTTTTTGGTTACAAGAAATGCTGATGAAACATACTTGTTAAATGAATATATACTATGGAACTCTACCAACTTAATTTAGTAACGTCCGATCCTTATTCATGGGGGTCAAATTCGTACGAAAAAGAGAAAATAATTAACAAAAAGAATAAGAAAATGGTAAATGACTCCATTATATACCATAATACAACATGGTTATTATTTAGCAGAGAGAGAGAGAGAGAGAGAGAGAGAGAGAGAGAGAGAGAGAGAGAGAGAGAGAGAGAGAGAGAGAGAGAGAGAGAGAGAGATGATCCCATGGTTAAGGTATGTCTCGGTTCATCTAAACAAAAATCCAAATGTGTGCCTCTTTTCACATTTACAATAAAAGTCATCGAATTGTACATAGGCTATGTAATCATGAGATTTGACTATGAAATAATAAATATGGTCAGGGTGAAAGTCAATAGCTCTTGGCACTAATGCTTTCAGCCTCATTTATTCCTGGGCGTCAGAATGTTCAAACGTCCTGCTGTTTCACAATGTACCGTATGAAAAATGACATTCACCCAGTGTCTGTGCTCTTACCCAGCAAACACTAGCCCAAAGTACCGCGTCTGAAGCCTTGCTATTCTCGGAGAATCAAAACTAAGCGGGGTCTCGCACAAAACGGACAAACTTGATCTAAGTAAATATGAAAGATGTCTCAATATGTGCGTGCAGCGGTTTCTGATGAGAATATGTGTGTGCGGGCTTCGAAGCGCTGTACAGAATGTGTGTTTTCTACTAAAGCGCATACTAGTATGATAAAACACAGCACAACAATTACTTACCAACAGCTACTTGCAGTAGATCAGCGCACAAGAGAAAACACAAAGACAGGACGGTCATCTTTCCCATATTTTGCAATAAATCCCAAACTCCATTTGCGTTTACATGCTCTCCGGCAGCTCGCTGCGTAATTCCCACCATTCCAAAGGGATGCGATTCCACAAACTGGTCATGATGCTGTCCAAGTGTCGGAGGGAAGATTGAAGTTTAAAACAAATGCGCACTTCAAAAGATATAAGGTTGTTGAATATTACGTAAAGATTATTAAAAGCGTTGCATTGTGAAATAGTCTCCTCGCGAAGGCAGCAACCAACGTTTACGCACAGACGAGGATTAAAAAATAGATATGGATTTGGATGAAAATCTCTCTCTCTCTTTCTCTCTCTCTCCCTCCCTCCCGAAACAGACACGAACAGAGTCACTCGTGATCACTCGCTTTTTATTTCACACAATTTTCCTTAATCCTGCTCTGGCTCCAAACCCTTCCCCTCTAATTCTGTCCACTAAGCCGATTTATTCGTGCTGGATTTTTTCCCCTCACTGAAAAGGTTTTGAAAGATCATTATAGGCATACGTGGTGAGATGCCTTACTCTGCATTAACTGCATAGAACCTGGAAAGATCAAGAGCTGGAAATGTTTCTACGAACAGCGTCACCTAGGGTATCTGCAAATGAACCCCACTCAGCACCAGTGAGTTTTCGTGTTTCACTAAGTTTTCGTGCATGAGGGTCATGGGATGTCTGTGAAGATAAAAAAAAAGACAAATTCTTTAAAAAAAAAAAATCGTAGGTTAAAATACACGCGTCAGGTTATTAGAAATGTAATCTTTGCATTCATGTGGGTTTCATTTTTTTTAAAGGACTGTTCTATACAAATATTTTGATTGAATGACTCTGAAAATTGTAGATACATCCTTAAAAGCACTAAAATGGTTACAGTAAAAAAAAAGACATTTGGTTCTAGTCAGAGCGGTTCTAGTGATTCTGGTCACATGACAACAAAATGGATTAAGGGTTTAAAAACGTTACAACAATTCATTCATTCATTCAATTTAATGCATTGACTCATAATAATATAAATTAGCCCAGAACAAATGTATGGTTAATGAATTGAATCACAAGGTAAAATTTGTACTTTGTTAAATTGTACACAAGGTAAAATAAGGTTATTTTTGGAGTAATGTTCCAGCCTTTGATGTAGAAGTTGGCCAATCATAGTTTATACATTTGGAGTGGCATCTCAGATAGCCAATCAAATTGTAGGGCTGCCTAGAGGGCCACCATCTCGCCCCTGGATGATAATGCTATTATCATAAAAATAGTGAGAAATATTTTATTGGCCTCATAAAATTATACAACATTGCATGCTGACAAAGGATAATGTACCACAATTTAGCAGGCATTGCTATGCATGCTGGTAGACAAATAGATTAGTGTGGTAAGAGTATTGTTTAATCATTGTAAAGGTTAATGTGGCCATATGGGTCTTTACCATGAACGAGGCAGTTTTGGTGAGCTCCCACACGATGCATACAGTGTAGCACTTTACCTGCACCCGAGAGTACATTAATGAAATGCTAATCTTGCCTCCGACAACACCCACAAGGAAGGAGGGAAGCAAGGATGAGAATATTATGCAATACTCTGGGGTCAAGACCTCGTTGCAGGCGCTCTGAAATTCAATCAAAGGCACAAATTAGAAATATATTTCTGAACTCTTCAACAGAACCTGCCACAAGTGCTAATTAAAGAAATGTGGGTGTACTCGCACATACCTGAGGCAGTTTAAGGTCTTCCTGATGTTGAACTCTATTGTGCCGAACACTTTGTATTCACCTACACACACACACCACAGATGACAAGTTCTTGCGCAATATTGTTGGGAGTCTGGGGAGCTTGGAAAAATATATATCGTATAGCCTGCATTTGGCTCATTTGAATGTGTATTTGTTTTTATGTGCTGAAAGAAACTTGAAAAGAGAATGACAAAAGCCATCCAGCGATACCTGACTGACACTCATGCTTGCAAATGCTCCTATACTGCAGATTTATTATCTGAGCTGTGCCAGACAGAGCTTGGTGTCAGTTGGATACTCTCTGCCCTGCTTAGTCCTTCCTCCAAGCACACGTGCTTGTGGAGTCATGACAAGACCCTTGGTAAGTCTCTCTGATGATTTATGAGATGGCGGTGCTGTGACGTAAGCGAATGAACACACGGGAGGAAAGGAAAAACAAAATGTGAGGCCTCATAAATGGACAAAGACAGCACCTCTCTAGAGCATGTTGGCACTCTGCTCAAGATGAAGAGGCTGCGGAGCTTCTGGTCTGGGTAGTGCTGACGCCTGGGCAGGGACCTACAATACTAATGCGATATCGTGCATCTCTAGAGGGCAGTGTCAACAACAATTTATGGAAGCAACACAGCTCAACATGTTCCTGTCCATATGGCATCTGCCCCTTGGACACTGACAGACCTCTTCAGAAGCAACTGCACCTTTTCCAGTTGTCTTGGGTGGTCTGACTTTAATCTCTTTGGTCCTGTAGATGTTAAAGTAATAGTTCACCTAAAAATGAAAATTTACTCACCCTCATGTCGTTCCAAACCCCCGTAAGAGTAATCTTTGAAACAAATTCAGGGGCCGCTTACACGACACCATTTTCAACTAAAATCTGAAAACTTTTTATGCTCTTTGCCTTTTTATGCTCTTGGCCTTTAATTTACACGACAGCAGCTTTTTGGGGGCGTGAAAAAGGAAACTTTTGAAAACGGGTTTCAAAGTGCAAGTTTAAAAAAAAAAAACCCTGTGAATTTGAGATATCATTCATATTACGCGTTCATTCTATAGGCGTGTATAAACTGTTTCTTTACAAAGTGACATCACCAACTGGCCTGGCAGCATAAAACAGTGGTTTTAATCGTTTTTGCGGATCTGTATGAACGGGGATCGTTTTGACAACATTGTCGACTGTACTCGAAAAAGGAATCGCTCGTAATCACATCATTATCTATAGGGCGGGTTCCTGCTGTATCAGTTGACAATGAGCTTGCATGATCAACCTTCAAATACATGGGTAGCATTTGCCTTAGCAGTGCAGCGCGTTTTCAGAAACCCTCCAACTTCCCCAGCTCCACCTGAATAGATCTTCGAATTCATTTATGCTATATTGTACAGCAGCAGCATGTCTTACTTGCTCACAGCAGAGTGTAATGTAGCCTACAGTATGTATTGGCAGTAGCAAGTCCCGTACTTACTCTGCCGCAGCAGCAACAATAAAAGAAGCAGCAGTGTAGCAGATCTATTCCGCCAAGACCAAACATATCAACATTGTCATATCCATTACCATGCCAAACACTTGAATTGTCATGACAGAAATAAACATAAATGCGGAAGTTTGTGCACACATCACGCACTATTACAAATTAATTGGTTTTCTTGCTTCACACAATCACGAGAACCAATGAGGTTTGTTCTACTGCAAGACGCCCACACAAGCTTCCATGTGTACCATATTTGATGTGCTATATGTACCCTATGTGTGTGTTTATATGTGGATAAAAGCTTAAATCAAATCTCTGTGCATCGTATCAAGCGAATGTATGTCTTCACAAGACTCGGATTAAACCTCTTGTTTACGATGCCTTTATAAACTTTTTTTGGATCTTTTCAGTTTTGTTTACCTGGAGGGACAGAAACAGGTTTCATTAAAAATATCTTAATTTGTGTGTCGTCAAAGATTAAGTGGGTGGGTTTGGAACAACATGGGGTTGAGTAAACAATGACAATCTCTTTAAGTTTAAGTTACGACTAGGCTCTTGCTTCGATAAATCCTAAATGGTATTTGCATTCTGATTGTTGGTCTGAGACAGCTGAGGAGAGTGCCTCGGACAAAAAGACACAGACATGCTGGCGGAAGAACAAATCCCATTTTCTTCCACTTACATTTTTCTTGTCCTTTTTTTGAACACTTGACACTTGCTGTCCTCTCCACTGCCTGGAGTTAACTCAGCAGGCAGGGAAAAGAGGGCTGGACAGATGAAATTTCCGATTCTCATTGACATCAGTAAACATTCTCTTTGCGTACCAGATACATTTCCATCAGCTGTCGTTCTTGGTGCCTGCAGTCTTTTATCACACTTAGCTAGACTTGCAGTTTAAGCTGCAAAATTCAGTGAAGGAAAGCTTGTGTGGTAGTCCTATACAAAATTGCTGTCAAAACAAAACGTATTCGAATTCTTCTTGGTGACTTTATTTGCATTTTAGGATGACTAATTTTTGATCATAACTCATGCATATTATCTGTAGAGACATGGAAGCAGAAATGCTCTGAAACAATACCGCCAATAGAATAGAATAGAACAGAATAGAATAAAATAGATGACAACAGACAGTAATGAGACCAAATCATGCATCAGGTGTGCAACAAATTTTCAATGATTCAACTCTGGAGTATATTATTCTTATAAGAATATTCTACACACAATTCAAGCCACAACATAGAAACTCTGGCATGAAATACATTTGACTCGTTCAACACATTTGACTCCAAATCAGAAATTATTTCATATTTTACATCATGAATATTAAGCCCATTTTAAGGCAATAAAAAATGTTTTTCATACTTTTACATTTACATGATAAATAAGCATGTTTCCACCCACATTTCTCAATTTCTTTTTTTTTAAATTTCCATTATCATAAATGGTGATTCAAATTAGTAGAGTAAAAAAAAAGTAGCTAATTCAATAATTAATACTTAATTAATTCTACCAGATATAAGTGATATAACATATTTGGTTTAATCACTAAGAAGTTTTTGGATGGATGGATGGATGTGCGTACTAGTCAGGTGTGTGTGTGTGTGTGTGTGTGTGTGTGTGTGTGTGTGTGTGTGTGTGACAGATTCACCTAACAATTAAATATGTAAATTAGTATGCAATGGCAGCAAATTTACACACAAATGGTTTTAAAAATCCTGGAACTACATCATAGCCATGCAATACAAATACAAAATATCAATGAATTAGAATAAAAAAAAATTCCCTTTTAGTTTTAAATTTAAAGTCCCTGTAAAGTCAAAATTAAGTATGTGTTTTGAGTTTGTCACACCACAGAAAAATGTGTTAGCCACCCAGCCAAATTTAAATGATAAAAAAAGCCAGCAAGTACATAAAATAAGCTATCAAAATCTTGAAAAAATGAGCAGTAATCTCTGCTCTCAAACGCTGGGGGCGTGTCCACTGGCTGCGCTGAAACCACGCCCACTCGCGGGAAAGCTGCCGTTGTCGACTCGCCACACTCAACTCTACAGCCGGAATGGAAGCTCGCACGGTGGGCACGCACTGCCGAATGGCACTAGTTGTCCGCGCGACGGGAGGATGAAGGCTGAGGCGGGAGTCGGTTCGGCCCCATTCACCAG